TGCAGAGACCTGAAAAGCTCACATATTCAAGTCAAACTTGACAAGTGATTTTAGCTGGCAAATTAAAACATTAGGTGAAATATTTTTTTAAAACCAACATTTAATTTCAACGTTTCCTATGGGAATGATCCCCTCTCCCCTTAACATTTCCCAAATGAAACTTCGCAGCTTTTATGACTCAAAAGCAGAATTTTCACAGCAGAAAATGCTTTTGTTTTAATTTGCAAATGGTTTACACAGCCTGCAAATGAAACAAGACACGAAATGGCTGCAGGGAAGGTAACGCAGTGTGCAGCAAAACCAGCAGTGGAACAATAATCCCAGCTGCCATCTGCGAGGCACATTTGGTCTGAGCGTTGTTATTTAAACAGGGTGGCAATATCCCACTGCCCGGAGCAGCTGGGGACCAGAGTCTGGCTACACAGGACAGCAGTGGGGACCTCCGGGCTCCCTTGCAGTGCAATACAGCACCGCATGGTAAATAAACATGAGGTCCCATAAAATTGGTGCATCGTGACTGGGTACGCTTTCCAGGACACATGAATAATCCTTGTTTATTTTACGGGCTCTGAGAATAGCGTTATGTGGATGCAGGTTGTTTTAATAGGGAGAAATTAAACTTCACACGAGTGTTACGGCTCTTTGCAAAGAGACTCGAACCAGGAGCAGCACTCGGTGCAGGATGGAGCTGAGGGATGTGCCACGTGCGGACACAGAGCTGACCCAAAATAATGGCACTTTGCAGTAACACCATTTCCAGTGCTTGGTTTTCCTTATCGAGAGAAAAGATGTATCCTGGGGCCAGGAGAAAGGAGAAGATGCCGCAATACGGCTGCAACCTTCAGCATTGAAAGGTCTTGCTTTCCACGTGGAGCTTGGTGGATGTCACAGCCCCAAAAGCCCTACAGAGGGATTAAAGACAGGCTCAGAGAGCATTACAATGCATTTGGGATATTTACGTTTCTTGGGTACCCCCATCTAAGCACCAGTGTTGCATGTAGAATAGGATAAAGGAGGTGTAGCTAATACCCACCTATGTTCAGAGGCTTTTTCATAGAATCATTTGGTTGGAAAAGACCTTTTAATTTCATCAAGTCCAACCAACACTTGGCCACCACTAAGCCAAGCCTCTCAGCACCTCATCTCCCCATCTTTTAAGTCCCCCCATGGATGGTGACTTCCCTGGGCAGCCCCTTCCAGTGCCTGATAACCCTTTCCATGAAGACATTTCTCTTAATATCTATCCTAATATCTCCCCATCCTAATATCCAACTTAAACCTCCCGATTTCCAGATGCAACGAGACACAGGGGAGAAACGAGACCACCTCCTACTATGCTTTAGCATCTGGCAACAACAGCAATAATGAAGGTGAAGTTATTCCAAAACCCTGGGCTGTGCTGGTGTCTCTGTGCTAGCCCAGAAAACAATTATTCGGAGAAAGCAGGTCACACCTACACTTCAAAGCCATCGTGTAGTTAGAGCTGCCTGGCCTGCAGATACTGCTGGGAACGGGCTCAAAGGACTGTAACATCCATCACGGGGCAACACCTATGGGAAAGCTTCTGAGGAGCTCATCCTAATTCATCCCTTCGGGAAATGAGATTCACAGACGCTCGCCTCTTGCCCGGGTCTCCAAGAGGACCCCGTCCCAGCAGCACTGGGGTGCTGAGAGTTGCATGGTCCACCATAGAAAAAGCTCAGGGTGAGCAGCAGGACTTCATTAACCTGGAATGAAATAGTAAATTACAGTCAGAACGAGTAGGGTTTGAATTTAGGTTAGCAGCCCAAGTTTAACCCAAAGGCTTTAATTTAAGCAATTAACCTAAATTACAGCCTTGACTTTACTGATAATTAAACTAAGATTAGGTAGCACAGGTGAACCAACCCAAGTTAGTAAGACACGCTCTTATTTTACAATTATATATATTTTTGCAAACAAAACAGGCAGAGGCACTCCTAAAAGTTTCAGCCTTGTCTGAGAAAGGGCATCCATCAGCAGAGGAAGCGGTGCAGAGAGATGGAGAGGAGGTGACAAAAAGCTGATGGAGGAATCCCCTGCTCAGTCCTGGGTACACAGAAAATGGCCCAAATTCCTCACTTAAGGGGCTGGAGTTGCCTTTATTGCCCTGACAGAGCCAGAGTTCACTTTCCCACTCTAAAAGGAGATTTATTACCTCAGTGTCAGCATGATGCCAGAACCAAACTCAGCCAAGGCACCATTCCCATGTAAAGGGATCTCCTGCCTCTTCATTGGGCACTCGCACCCGCCTGCCCCCTCTGCTCCACCTGGGAGGAAGAAACAAGTTGGGGAAGGGAAGAAAATGGCTTTGAAGCCTGTGTAGGCTCAAGGACGTCCTCTGCCACATCACGGGGGCTCTCACCCAGCGAGACCTGCCCAAACACAGCTCCCTTTGTTTGTCGAGGAGGAAAAACTACGGAGCAGCCTGAGTGAGCACAGACATCATCCTCTGGTGGAGGAGGAAAAGTCTGTATCGGAGCAAGCTATCTGCATCAGGGCAGAAAATTCATTACGTGCCTGGAGCTGCAGGGTGCACGGGAGACACTCCCCCAGGAGCTACCTGGAAACTCTGTGTTTCATCAACAGAGCAGGGTGGGGGCTCCCCCTTTGCCATCACCCCATACCCCAAACCTGTAGCTACAGCTCCTTGTGCTCACAGTTCTGCCTTTAGTAATTACCTCCCAAATTCCTTCCAGATGAGTGACAACCACATCACCTCCACCCTAGTGCAAATGTGAAATGGAAATAAATTAATTTCTTTTTATTTGGTTGGAGGAGCTGGATTATTACTATTATTAACAGTGGACTCCAACGCAGTTGGCATATTCTTTAGCCAAAAAAGACAAGTTTCATATGTAAAAGCAGCCTGAGGGAAAAAAGGAAAGTACTGACGCATCACGCTGTTAGTAACCAAGGGTGGGTTTCAGCCTGGCCAACCCTGCACACCCTGAGTCAGCTCTACCCGCATGGTGCTGGTGAAGGTGAAAAGCCATCGTCAGGGGGTTCTCCATCCATCCTAGGATGGGATAACCTGCCTTTTGGTGGAGATCTTCACTGGCTGCATGGGAATACAGAAAAACCTTCAGACAGCCAAAGTTACGCGAGACGGATGGCACCAGAGAGGGCAATTCCCACAGGAGCCATAGGCATTTGAGAAGGCTGGGAACTTGCACCTGACTTTGAATATTTTGCTGTCTGGGACTTGCATCTAAATGAATCAAAATTGCTACGGGATGGGGAATTCGATCTCGTGCTTGCAAGTCATGACATGTGGCAACTGGTGGGCAAAACCCTAGGGCTGATCAATAACTCACTGCCTTTCGGATACAGACCCTCTGGTTGCAATCCATTTACTTCCAGTTCCCGTGGCTGCAAACGTGAGCACAGTCAGACCCAAAGAGACAGCCCCGCTGGGCAAAAATTGCAGGATTAAGCCCTTCCTTACAATAAAAGCTCAGTCTTGTAACAGACACTAAAATAAACTAATAATTGCTACTTATTCCACCACCCCCCTTCATTTAAAAACTCAATTACAAGTGCAATGCATCTGAAAGAAACAACGGGGACATGAAATATTTCTGGGAGTTTCCTTTTCCCGGCTGCCTTGCAAAAGAGGGGCAGATCGAAGCTCAACACTCTCTGCCATGGTGTTTCCTCAATATTACGTTATGCCTGTACCGCAGCCAGCAGCTCCTTGGGCTCACGGATAAGAAGAGAGGGAGCTGTTTGGGGGGGATGCGTTTGCAAGTTTACCCTCTTGTATAAATAAATTACATATGAATCACCTTTCCCTGAACAACCCGAGACACAATGAGGGCCAGAAACACTTCCCACCTCTTAAAATGAATTATTTTTCACATTTTTCTATTTGACTCATTGTTCAAACTGCCTGCAGTGCCAAACGCAAAGCCAAGGGCTGTGTTGGTACCTGGCTCTGGGCTGTTTCGCTGTGTCCAGGTTTCTGTGGGCCTGGGCAGAGGGAAGCCTGCAGAGCACTTTCCTGCTGCAGGATCACACTTTGTGATGTACAGCACTGAAAGAACTGATTAAATCATTGAGAAAACATGTTTATAAACCGTGAGTTGGGAACAGCCCCGGAGCACTCCATTTCCATATTGCCAGTGGATTCAAAGCAGTTCCCATTCCCACAATCTTTTTTTTTTACATTTATTTTTGGGTTTGTTTCTTTGTTTCCATCCTGCTAAAATACCTAAGTCCAAATCTTGAAAACTGAGGTACCAGCACAGCCATTTGAGGCAGAGCTCTATAGCAGCTGCCAAAATCCACACACGAACAAAAGACCTTGTCAAAACATCTCATTTTCGTACCTGTACTACTTTTTTTAGTAACAGAAGAATAAGTCTGCAGAAGCAGGATTTTCAGAAGAGATCAGCTCAGGGAGCTGAGCCTTTCTAGGGACAGAAGAAAAACTCTTTCTGCAGATATTCTGTGGTGACATAGAGGGGTCGATGCAGAACATATCACAAAAACCCAGGATAAGACAATTTTCTGCAGGTCTGGCTGTAAAACACAGCTCTGCCTTGTCCCCTTTCCTAAAACACGAGGGTCCATAACTTCTCAGACCCGTGCTTGTGAAGAGAAAAAGGGGTGAAAGCAATCCCGAGGGATGAAGTTTTCGGCTGAGCGAGGTGCTGAGTGACAGGCGCTCTGAACGGTGTTTTCCTCCCCATGCCCAACGTGACTCATGGCAACTTTCGAGCGCTTTGATACGGCGCAGAGCCTGGCTGTCTACAAAGCCGGCAGAAGGCGACAGTTATTCCCAAACAATACCTCTGTTGCTCAGAACCCGGCTATATTATTTCAGAAGGGCGTGTGTGCGGAGTGAGTTCACCCTCCAGAATGTTGTTGGACATGCCAAGCCTAATTAATCAGAAAGACGATCCACCTCATCAAACCCATCCCAGCCTCATAAATGCATAAAAGGGCTCTCCTGAGCCCGTGCAGAGCACAGGTTCATCTTTCTCCTTTCCCTCCTACTCCTTGCTCCAGGCCAGCACCTTTGCTCCTTTATTCTTGCTGTAGCATCCATCCCAATCCAAAAAGCCAGCGATGTCTCGCCAGTCCACCGTGAGGATCCAGAGGGGAAGAAGTGGCTTCAGCGCTGCTTCGGCCATCGTCCCAAACACCTGCCACACCAGCTTCAGTTCGCGCTCTGTCACCCGGGTCGGAAGCTGCAATGCTGGCAGTGGCTTTGCTAGGGTTGGTGGTGGCTTTGGAAGCAAAAGCCTCTACAATATTGGTGGATGCAAGAGGATCTCTGTGGCTGGAAGGGGTGGTAGCTTCTATGGATCTGCAGGTTTTGGTGGTGGTAGCGTGTATGGTGGTGGCTTTGGCTATGGATACGGGCCCTTTAGTGGTGGCATGGGTGGCCCTGGATTCCCAGCTGGGGGCATCCAAGAAGTCTCCATTAATCAGAGCCTTTTGAAACCTCTCAACCTGGAGATTGACCCCAGCATCCAAAGGATCCGAAAGGAGGAGAAGGAACAAATCAAAACCCTCAACAACAAATTTGCCTCCTTCATTGACAAGGTGAGACGTGAGCTTCCCTAAATGTCTTGTCCTGATTTTTTTTGACAAGGACTCATTTCTTAGCTGCTTTATGAGCACCTAAGCCAACCAAGAGGGAACAGAAGTGAGGAATGAGACTGGAAGATGCCCAGTCCTCAGAAATGCCAGGTAATGGTACCTGCTACATAGTGGTTGCCATGAATTAATCATCCAGTATTCGAGGTCCTCCTCATTTGCTGCTTGTCATCTCATAGGCAGTGGAGAAAGAAAGCTCTAGAAGGACAATCCCATCCTTCTGGAGATGTTGGGCTCTCTCCATTGAGCATTATGGGAGTCTTGATAACTGTTTTTCAGATGAGATGCAAGCAACCCCTCTAAAATGACCAAGAAAGGAATCACATGAATTGGCACTAGGGAGAAGCAAATGTCTCAGTATTTGAATTTTCCTCAAAGGCATTTAAAGCTGTCACTGCAACAGTACCAGCATGTTTGGACTGTTAGTTCAAAATAGCAAAATCTGATCTGACACTGCCTGTCCACTTCATTTCCTTGTTAACTGCATTAGATGTACAAGAGCACCTGCTTGACTTCTGTTCCGGTTGAGCAGCTCCTCTTTGGTTTCAAGGAAAATGCTACATTGTTTTGGAGATTTTCTCCTCCTGAAAGGCAGGAGAAATGGCACTTTGTTATTTTCTTAGTAAAAGTGCAAAAGTTTTGCTCTTATCTGATTTTTGCATGCACTCTTCACACAAAAAGCATGCACTTTGTCTTGATTTAGCAAAGCAATGAAGGGGAAAGATGGTGTAATAAGCTCAATAATCATTCCAGATCTTGTTTGCAATGCTGAGCAGGGTCCCTGCAGTCAAATAGCAAATTCCTTCTTCCACCAAATGAGAATTTGGCTATGAAAACCAGCTGGAAAGAGATATTTCTGCTTGCAGGTCCGATTCCTGGAGCAACAAAATAAAGTGCTGGAAACCAAGTGGAGCTTGCTTCAGGAGCAGGGGATGAAAACTGTCAGGAACAACCTGGAGCCAATTTTTGAGACGTACATCAACAACCTGCGGATGCAGCTGAACAGTTTGCTGAGCGACAAGGGCAGGCTGGAAGGGGAGCTCGTCAACACACAGTACCTGGTTGAGGATTTCAAGAAGAAGTAAGTTTACCGAGCTAGAGGTCTACTCACCTAGGTAGGTGCAGCCGTGCTCCATTCAACATCCTTAAGCCAACGGGGGAAACCAGGAGAGTCCAGGACAGAAATTCCTGACATCTTCTCAAGATAAATGGTAACGGAGTAACAGATACAAATAGAAACACGTTGCAGGAATAATTTAGACTATGAACAAAGACTTATTAACTAAATTACCTACTAAGAGAAAAAAGAAATTACATAGTAGGTCTGAGAGTTCCAGGCCAGCATGCTTAATTTGCTTAAGACAGGCAGCAGGAGTATGACTAATGGCCAGAAATAGGAAAAAAGGAGTAGATTCTTTAACTTTTTTTTAATGTACTTGTTTTAACTGGTTTAGCCTAGATACATGCTCATGTTCTCTTATTCAGATGCTCTGTAGGAGAAAAGAACATTGTATGCAAAATGCTCATAAGGAAGTTCATTCCAGCAAGCTACAATCACTCCCGTCGGTTACTTGCCTAAACAATGCTCCTTCTGCCTCTCTCTATTAGGTATGAAGATGAAATCAACAGGCGCACAATTGCAGAGAATGAATTTGTGACACTCAAGAAGGTGAGCGCAAATTACAGAATACCCCCTGACGATTATTGGTAAGGCTCTTATCTCCTGTTCATTCACAAATCCATCCATTCGTATTCCAAAAGCTTTTTTTTTTTAATGGTTTCTTCCCTGGACTGTTACTGCAGAGATCCACGTGTTCCTGACTTGCTAATAAGAGTTTAAAACACATTACCTAAATCTCTTGTCCTCCAGGATGTGGATGCTGCCTACATGAACAAGGTGGAACTACAAGCCAAGGCAGATGCGTTGACCGAAGAAATTAATTTCCTGAGAGCCCTCTACGAAGCAGTGAGTACATCCACCTCCCGAGATATTTCCACCCTTGCTTAAGAGCTTCCCTCCCTCCTTTCCTCTAAAACCCCGTAATTTCTTCCCCCGGGAGATGCTAAATCCTTTCCCTCTTTACATCAACCGTCTTCACTGTTTAGATAACTATCTGCAGCCTCTCCCAGGTCTGCACGCACATCAGGAAGGGTGAATGCATCTCCCAAGCGCATGAGCTCACCCCATCCCCTGTGTGTTTTGCAGGAGCTGTCGCAGATGCAGACCCAAATCTCTGACACCTCTGTTGTCCTCACCATGGACAACAACCGCAACCTGGACCTGGACAGCATCATCTCGGAGGTCAAAGCGCAGTACGAGGACATCGCCAACAGAAGCCGGGCTGAAGCAGAGTCCTGGTACCAAACCAAGGTGAAGAAACTGGGGCTTTCCGTGCTGCTATCTTCATGTCTTGTCTTGAACAGATAAAGTCCAACTCTTCCAAGAAAGCCTTCTCAAATACTCCATCTCACACAGCAGCTAGTCTGGGCTTGAGGAGGGACCTGTGCTTTCGGGCACCCTTGTTACTCCAAAAATGATGGATTTTACCTTGGCTGAGTGTTCCTCTCTCTGTGACAGTACGAAGAGCTGCAGGCCACGGCAGGCAGACATGGGGATGACCTCCGTACCACCAAGCAGGAGATCTCTGAGCTCAACCGCCACGTCCAGCGGCTGCGGTCTGAGATCGACAGCGTGAAGAAACAGGTAAAAAGCAGCAAAACCTGCACTTTTAATCAATTTACCCTCTGGCTTGTGAGGGAGAGGAAGGAAAACATCAGAGGCAACCTAGGCAAGTTGTGTTCAATTTGACCCTTTTCTCCCAAAAGCAGAACTGTCACTAAAACTGGTGAAGCTGATGGCGCTGGAATAAGACCTTGTGATTTCAGGGAAGACACAGATCAAGTACAGGTCCTGTGCTGGGAATTTGACCGGGAATTTCTCTTCCATAGTGTGCAAATCTGAAAGCAGCCATCGCGGATGCTGAGGAACGTGGGGAGATGGCCCTCAAAGATGCCAAAGCCAAACTGGCCGAGCTGGAGGATGCTCTGCAACAAGCCAAGGCAGACCTGGCCCGGCAGCTCCGCGAGTACCAGGAGCTGATGAACGTTAAACTGGCGCTGGACATCGAGATTGCGACCTACAGGAAGCTGCTGGAGGGAGAGGAGTGCAGGTGGGTGGGAAACACAGCCCTTCTGGTCCTGATGTTGGAGGAGCGAAGCAGTGTGAGCACCAGAGATGCTCAGCACTTTGGAAATGCTAAATGGGGCATTAGGAGGTGGTGGTGGAGGGGGAAAGATGGTCCTGGCTAATGGAAATAACACTGCAGGAAGCATCCCTGCATTACACCAAGTTTAAATTCTTCTCCCTAGAGGTGTCTAGGAAGTGTGTCCTATTTCCCACCCCCTCACTATCAACAGACTTCTTGTCCTCTTACCTTGTTGTGTTCTGTCCCCTAACAGGCTGGCTGGAGACGGCGTCCCAGTGAATATCTGTAAGTCTCTAAAATACATGCAATTACCTTATTTAAGCACTATTGTGTCTCTGCACCAAGAAGGTGAAAGCCCAGCGATCTCTGTCCAGAGAAACTGAAAGCTTTTCCTCTCCTTCTTGCAGCCGTGACGAGAACAACCATGGGCACAGGGTATGGAGGAGGCAGCAATCTCAGCATGGGAGGGGGAATCTGCAATATTGGGAACAGCTTCAGCTGTGGGACCGGTCCTGGGGTCAGCAGCTCCACCCTGGCAGGCGGCAGCAGCTCCAGTGTGAAGTTTGTCTCAACATCCTCCACCAGAAGAAGTTACAGGAGCTAAAAGTTTCCCCTCAGATGCCTTCACTCGCCAGAAAACACCTTAATGCTGGTCCTTTACTAAAGCATGGTTGGGGTCAACAGAATGAAGGCCACCTAAACCCTATGTCTTCTCACACAGGAACCTCACCTTAGGAACTCTTTCTCAGCTGTGTTGTCTCGCAAAAAAAAACTGCTACCAAACACGAGTCCAACTGTTTGAAATTTGCAACTTGCTTGCTACGGCTCAGCATTTTTTTGGCTGGATTTTGTATATAAAATGTGTCCCATGACTGTTTGTCTCTCTTCGCTTTCTGGTGTTTGTCTAATAAAGATGCACACATAATTTATTCTATTGTGTGGACCTTTTAATTAAAGACGTGGAACAGCAAATGCAAATGCAGATAACAAGCACTTTTCCTAGGGCCCTGCCCAGTTGAAGGCGCAGATTTTTGCTCCTCATTCACATTCCCTGAATCTCTCCACTGGCAGCCAAAACACCCAGACACAGCGAAGCACCCAAGGGAGCTTTGCCGTTGATTTTCATGTTCTCCCCATGGTGCAAGTAAAACACCTGGGAGCTAAAGACGGGGCACGCCAAGGCAGGAGTCGGGCACAGGGGAAAAGGCCTGAGATTCATTTACTGTGCAGCTTCCAGCCCATGCAACATCCAACAGCCCGACTCCCTGGGGGGCACAAGGGGCAGTGCCAAGCGTGTGATGTACCTGCATCAACTTCTAACAATAGGGAACTAATTACTTGGGGAGTCGGAGCAACCGCCCAACTTGTTCAAGTCTATCAGTCCATCTCAAAACCCCCGCTTGCTGCGAGCTGTCTCAATTAAGCCGAGGTGCCAGCAGTGCAAATGGGTTGAAAGCACTCCCTTGCTGTTGGCCACACTCTTTTAGGTGGTTATCTTGAGTCTTGATGATGATTTTCCCTCTACTTTGACTATGAGCAGGTGGAGGATCTGGTCCATATGCATTCAATTGCTACATTAAATGAGATGTCACTCATCCAACAGCTATTAAATATATCCAAGAATGGGATACCTGTTGGAAAGTGAAAGCCTTCAAAATCCAATATTTCTTCACATTCTTGGAGTCCATCAGAGACAAGATCTTGTTTTGAGGAGGTGGAGAAAAAACAGAGGACGTGTAGCAATTTTAGATGTGGTTCTGACTAATCGGGAGAAATTAATTGA